CATCCCGAACTCGTGGACTACTTCAAGCTCAATGGGCTTGCGAGTGAGCCGCCTCGTCGAAGAAGAAGTCATTTTTCAAGGTGTTTGAGGACAAGAAACAACAGACGTCGACTGCATCGTCTTCGAGAAACGGTACAGCTGAGACGGCTTACAGTATGAAGAACACATACCGGAGTCTGACACTTGTACCCACTGCGCGTCGAATGCACAAAGACTTTGAAGCCAAAGTTGTCATGACGGAGAAATTTCCATTCCAACTCCGAGATTTCCTGCCAGTTATCAAGTTCATTTCCACTACGGGAGAACACGTGAAGAACCTCGACGAGTTTTTCCAGATGGTACGTAGTGTGGATGTCGACTGTGCAAGGTACGGCGACTGCTTTGTGGCTACAGACACTTCCACCTGGGTTTCCTGTCAAGTTTGAGCTACCGATGATGTTCACGGTCCGAGTCGCGTACACGTTTCAGAAGATCACGTTGAACCCGCAGCTGAACTCGACGATGTTTGAGATCCCCAGAGATTATCAAGAAGTGTTCACTCTAGACGAAGTACGTTTGTAAAAAGTCAGAAAGACTTCACACGTTTTACTTGATATAAAAACTGGCTTGCATTACGTCATCTCTTGTACTCTAATTGGCTTCTAGCTGTCTTCCAATGCGGTGGAACTCTTCGTACGGGTCGAGTTCGTCTTCATCCAGTGCGTAGTCCGTTTCGAGCTGACTGTCCGTTTCGTCTGCAGCAAGGATGGCGTCTTCGAACTCTGGGGTATCGTCACCAGCGTAGACCTCACTAGCCTTGCCACGAAATATTGGGTGCGCGCCACGCATCTTCATCGTAAACGCAGTTGCATCTACCGAAGTAGACAGAGCTGCAGTCCCCACGCCCGCCAACAGCAACAAGCTCAAAGTGACGACGACTTTGGTTCGCACAGCACGACGCTTTTCCCAATGTTTGTGCAGAATCGTTGACTCCGACAGCTTCAAGCTGAAGCACGAGCTCTTGGCGGGAGACTCGTGGCACAGGTAATTGGCCTCTTCCTGCGACGAAAAGAAATCCTTATCCATGTCACTATTGGCTGTGGTGTTCGTCAAGAAACGAAGACTCGGAGAAGAGAGCTGGCGCCGCTTCCTGGAAGTTAGCCGTTCTTGTATTGCTGAGTAAATAGCAAAGTGAGGTCCTACTACCTGCAGCTAGACTACATGGTACTGGCTGTCTTCAGCTGCATTTTTTGGACACGAACGTTGTCATCACGTATGGTGTTACAGGGTATCCTGTCATCCTGGATGCCGAACGCTGTCTACAGGGAGTAGCGGCAATAAGAAAGTAGCCGAAATTTACCAAAAGCGGCTGGCAGCACCAACGGCGAGTAACTGTGGACTACAGATGGGAAGTATGCCAAGTCCACTGTACCGCTGAGTTGGTGCTACGATACGAACCTTCGTCTACAGGCGGATAACTTATTCGAAATGGGTGCTGCAGCTGATGTGGACATGTTGGCTCACGTAGTGCATGCGTTTTTAAGGGAATAATTTAGGAAATGAGAGAAAAAATATTGAATTGTTTTTTTTCTTCGTTACCTCCTACTTGACTTCATTGAGTGTCTGCTGCCACATCTGCCGTACTTACTACCGGTATGTACCAATTTCACATTATTTCGATAATAATCCCGAATTTAAGCTGACACAGACACACCCGTGTTACTGACCTTTGCCAAATTAGTCAAAGCTTTATCTTTGCTTTTGATCGTCTTCAAGTGTTCGTATATCGAGGTTCTTAGCCGGAATTTAAAAATGTGCGGTTGAGCATGTCTTTGTCACCTTGCGTTGGTGGGGCTTGTCGCCTTCAGTGAAGAAAAGAAGCTCCAGGTGCGAAGTTCGTTCCCTCCCTGACTCCTACCACCGACAAGATGCTCGCCCGCCAGACTGCCCGCATTGCCCGCCAGACCCGCGCCTACTCCGGCCTTGTGAACAAGGAGAGCCACGTCGCTGCCGACCAGAAGCTCTTCAACACGGTCAAGCGCCCCACCTACATTAAGCGCGATTCGGACATCCCCCTCCTCACGGGCATGTTCGTCGGCCTGGGCGTCGGTTTCGCGCAGATTATCCGCGGTGAGGTCTGCATGGCCACGGGATCTGGCAAAAAGGAGTAAGCAACCAGTACAGCAAGGACGTTGGTGCGATCGACATGAAGAACGAGGTGTAAGTTGCCAGTTCAGGCGGCTCCTCTTTCGAGACAGGAAGTCGACGTTTTTGACGGCCCCTTGCGCTCGTCTCTCCTCTATAAGGTTCTACGAAAGCCTACCTACACCGCCAGAAGGAATCAAAGTTTGTCTGCATTTATCACCATTTCTTGTGTCGCCCGTTGCCTACTCTGCGTAAATTCTTAAGTGGTCCACTTCACATTCCTCTTTAAAAGCATTTCTGTACCTGTACCATCACTGCAATCCGCACACTGATCGGTGGTCATGGCTACGGCACTGCCCGACCGGGTGAGCTTCGTGGAGGCGCATCGCCGCTTCATGGCGTTAGAAAACCCCAGCACAGCTGTGTCTGACCCGAGCTCCAAAGCCTTCCAGGACGAGCTGACCATCACATTGCAGTACCAGAAAAAATGCATCGAACAGCGTCAACTCGACGGCGTGCTGTCATCTAACGAGCGTTTCTTCGAGCTCCAGAACACACAGCTGTACGCCCTGTGCATCGAGTACTACTTGGGTATGCTCACACCCAAGCAGACGTTCTTCCAGCAGACAGAGCGCGACGAGAAGCGATCGGGCCCGACGGATCACACGCGCAACGTGGTGCACCGCATCAAATTCTTACGCGAGGCCGACGTGTTCCTCAGCGAGTTCTTAGATCGCGCCGAGAGTGTTGGTCTCTTGACGGAGAAGAAGCGACGCGAGCAATACGAGCGACTGGAGAGCAAACAGTTCTCGTTATCGAGGGACGAGAAGGTCCAGCGCTTCCAGCTGCAGCGCGAGATGGAGAAGAAGCTGCAGCAAGTGCAGAAACGTCGCGAGGAGAAGACGACGGAGGACGCAGATGAACTGGAGGAGGACGACATGGAGGACCTCGAGCGGGAGCAGCTGCTGACCTTCATTCAGCTCTCCGTAGTCAAGAGTATGGAGGAGCAGGCGTCGATCAATCAGGAGAAGGAGATGCTGGAGACGATGCTCAAGATGAACGCGACTACTGAGAAGCAGGATCTTTTCTCCGAGACCCATCGACCGCCTCCACCGCCTCAGGGACAGGGAATTGTACGACAAGAGAGCCTGAATAATGGCCTGACAGGGACGACGCTAATGGTGCTATATGTACTGTGGTTTATGCAGGAGGTGACGCGGATTAACCCACAGATGGAAATGCGGCGGGAAACGGTCCGCTCGGGCGTATTCAAGCCTGGCCACCGCCTCCCCACGATGACGTTGGAGGAGTATGCGGACCGTGAGGTGGCCGACGCCATGGAGAGGCAGAAGAGAGAGCAGTACGCTGTGGTTTCTGGTAGGGAGGAGTAGTGTGGAGTTGGCTGACGCTTTGTGTGTGTTTCTGCTGATGTAGGGAGGCGCCGCAGGGACCGCGTCGGTACGACCAGCTCGTGGAGGACGGCGACGAAGATGATGACAATTTAGTAGAGGAGGCGGCGTATAAGGATCGTGCTTGGGACGACTGGAAGGATGCAAACGAAAAGGGGATTGGCAACAAGAAGGGATCGCAGTTCTAGCTACACCAAGTTTGTATCGAGCTTGGATGTCTTATGTAGAGCTTAACTAATGAAGCGGATTCTGCTGGTGTCCGCAATTTCTTTGTTGGCCCTTCACGAACTCCAGTAAATTGTACAACGTGTAAGAAACCGGCATTAGTGGATTGGGCGGTGATGTAGCATTTCAGCAGCTTCTCCACTACAGTATTACTCAATATTTTCTATTTTTTTCTCTCATGTGCAATCTCTTACACCTCTCAATTTCGTTCTCTGTCCGCCCCCCCCCAATTCTAAATCTTCATGAGCTGACTCGCCAGAATTTATTTTTTTCACTCAGTTTAGTACTTCAAAAAGTGCCTTCTTCTCCACATACGCCAAGTATAGAGGGTCCAATAACTCCACCACAACGCGGCGCTTGCTCAAAGTCTCGCCACCATGACTGGAGAAAGTAAATCGGTGGAAAATCACCATACGTACGCCAGCATTGATTCGTGCCTGGGTCACCATAACTGGGCAGCCACTTGATTGCTTGTCCGCATCGCGTCAGTTGAAACTCTACTTCTCAACGCAGGACCAGACACCTCCACAATTAATACCATGACAAAAGTTTTACTAGCTTCCACAACGCTTGAAGAGGCCGTTCCCTCGGAACAGCCGATGAACCATCGTACGCCTCCAAATTCTTTTACATCTTGAGATTGGACTTATCGGCACCTTATTAGGCTTATCAATTATGACCCTACTCCCGAAGGGAAAAGGAACAGAAGTTGTATTATTATCCTTGACCCCAGTGCGAGCAATGACTTGACCTATGCTGCATAGGATAATTTGCGTTTCAAATAAGAAATGTTTAGCCGAGCGACATCCATGATCTTGGCTTAAGTGTGGTGGCTAATGAGTCAACCGGACGGCCTGCATGCAAGGTGGAAGATAAAGCCGCCATTAACGGATTTGAAACCGTATAAGTGGTCTTTGAAGGGGGGGCCGTCAGCTAGAGCAATCTCAACGGGTTCAAGAATAAAAAGCGTATGGTGATCCCCACTTCGTGATATTGGAGAGTCATTTAAACCAAAGGTCTGTTTTTTTTTCTTCTGTCTACCGGAAACCAACCTTAATAAATCGGCCTTAGGCTTCTATCTGCGTTATCGGATGCCTCGAGAATTCATCGCTACTCTGCAGCGGTCAAATAATGCATTTTGTATCTCCTTGCACGACCTGCATGATTTCTACCGGTAGTTTGTTTTTACCATTGGCCCATAAATAATCAGGGGGTTATACGTAGGTCCCTTAAAGAACTCGTAGAACCTTAGGTAGTTGATGTAGATGCGGTAGTTCTTGTCTCTTATGCCGGTTGTCGAAATAATGTCCAGCCGGTCGTACATCATCGCTGGGGTTCGTTTATTCGCAGCCCAGACAGTGAAGCGGAACTCCCAGAACGGTTGTCGGAAATAATCGTCGAGCGTTGTCTTGGCCACCCTGTAGACCTTCAGTACCTTTGCCCTCCATTCCTTCTCGCCTCTTTTGCCTCTTCCATGGGTGTCAATGGTAGTATCTTTTGCCACGAGCCTTTTGAGTGCTATACGCACACTTGCTGGTATGATCCCTCTCTCTTCGTCACTCGCCGAGTTCATGTGGGCTTCAGCTGTGCTTGCAGTATCGCTTCGCAGGTATTTATTAATACCATTATAATCGGCCTGAGATGAAGACGCAGTGCTCTTCTGGTCTGCATTCGCAATGGTCGAGGCTGCGCCGCAGCTCGTAAGGACATGTGCTACTATTAGCACAAAGAGACCTACGTAGTATACGAGACGCATGCCTACTCGTGTATCTCTTCTTATGCGGAGCGCGCGACAGAATAATAGCGCGACGGTGCTTCTGCCTCGCGTCTTGATCACAGAAACGATTCGCTTGCGCGTTTTTGATTGTCAAAGTGGAGATGATGTGCATCCGAGTTCGCAGCATGGACTAGCCTTTAATTTGTATGTACAGCTCTATACAGTAGTCCAGTTTAAAGTTGCGCCTTCCAGTTCATGTATCAAAGAGTTTCCCAAGACGAAGTTTCAGCAACCAAATGTAGCTTGATTTGTTCCCTGTACTAATCATTAAAAAGCGCGACAACCGAATAAATGACGGTTAGATTACCGATCGATATTTCGATGCTTACAGTTATTAATAGTTCCAGTTGTCCCACTGGAATATATACAGGTATGAGACTGCGTCAAACAAAATGATACTTACGAACCATTAGGGGGTTTCAAAGTTGTCATTAATTAGGATTTTTTTTGGCGGAGATGAGCCTCATTTTTGTCGAAAAATGCGCCTCCCGAGACGCATTTTTCCGAACGACGTTACCGCAACACAACGGCGACAAGACGACAGCTCTTACGGCAACACATCTGCCCCTTTTGACACAAGGAACAACATAAAAAATGTGTCAAAGCAACACAGCTCGGTAAACTATTATCCGGGGTCTGATAGATTACCGTTATTGTCAAAGTTACCACTCCGCTCATTCACAAAATTTACATTATAAGTGCTCATTCATCATTTGAAAAAAAAGACTCGCAGTGACCAAGCCAGCTTGGGCTCCATGAACGATTCAGCTAGCACCGACCGGACGCATTCAACTGGCGACGAGGTCCCCCGACGCAATCCCCGCCACAAGGAGCGGATGTGCAAGGAGCTGCTACGGTCTCGACTGCAGCAAATCGAGCTACTGGGGGAGAAGCTCGAGCGACTTTCCGAGTTTTCGCTAAAGCTGATGGATCTCCATGAGGAGATTGCTGTTATACTCGCACGCGAAAAGCATGATACAATGCGTCTAGCAGCTGCAACCGGGGCTTCTGCTCACGACGTCGGATACGTTGTATCGTATGCTATGGCGCTCGAGGAGTGCTGCAGTATTTTGCTGGATCAGGCTTTGTAAACGAATTACAAAAGCGATAAAGAAGGCATAAGGAGGTTTACGTAGCAAAGTTAAGTCGACAAACGAATGCATATTATATTTTAAACGCTGAAAACAGTTCCTGACCGGTCGCTTCTACCGCTTTCGCTCGCTTATTTGATTTCGTAGTCACCTCTGGTTGCATCAAAATTATCCACATGATACGCAGTCGCATGATGGCGACATCGTCTTGTGTGACGGTTGCGTTAGCAAAGGCGGTGCTATCCTTGAGTACTGCATATGTTTGGGCGATACACAACACTTCGCATGAAGATCCATCTGGCTGTGTTGGCGCATTAAGCCACACGCCATTTTCGACGAGAGGAAAATCAGTAGCTTGCATGGTCTCATGATGCCAGTTCCGTAAAAATTTAGCCATTGTGTCCTGGAAAATGGCTTCCATTGTTGCTAGAAATTCCGTCCCACACAAGGGTTCGTAATAGTACGGTGTGATGCTGGGCGTTTCCTGCTGATAGGCCATTCTAACAATGATGACGCCCCAGTGATTTCCGTTTAGGTGAACTGGCAACACCACATAATGGAATGACGATATTCGTGTCTTCGGAGGGCTGGGGCATCCCATCGTCGGAGCGAACGAACTCAGTGCGTAGCAGTCACCAAGCGCACCGCAGATGCAGCGAATAGTAAAGTCAATCACGAGGTCGTTTAACATTCGAGTCCGGGCCAGGCTTCCCACCATATTGTCCACCCTGATAGAGCACGCAGCACTCGTAAGCCAAAATTCCGAGTTAAGGCAAGATCCGCGCAGAATATTTGCCGCTTCGTTCGCCAAATCTTTGTGTTTCTCGCCCGCTTCGGAAGGGAATAATACTTCCGAATCAGTCTCTTCGTCAAACAACAGTGGCGTATCGAGCACCGTTTCCCACTTAGTTGATAGAAGCCATTCCACATCTGCGTACCATGCAGTGCATTTTGCACAAATGTTGTAGAACTCTTTCATTCGGTACACAGCCCCGCTAGACATACAATCCAAAGGGTGCAACACAAGAAACAACACAAAACGTGAGCAACACAAGAAACAACACAAAAATGTTAGCAACACAAGAAACAACACAACCTGATGATCAGCATTGCGAAGTACGAACCTGGTGAACTTCGGAGTTCCGCCCGAGAAGAAAGCTACGATCTCCTTAGTCGTTCCTTCCGAGTGCTCCGAGTCGGAATTATTGGCGAAATATTTGGGTTTGGATCGCTTGTTCTTCTCTTCTTGTATAACTGCACTCAGCTTTGTCACCAGGTGCTTGGGCACAACGAAGTTGTAGTCGAACTGTTCTGTTCGCACGTAGGCTCGTTGGCTGCGCGCAGCCCGTGCGCCGATGAAGTCGTCCGTCATGGCAGTAGGGTAAGTTGCCAGAATTGATCGGACGTACTCGACGTCATTTGTATTGTTTGCCCACTCGAGTACTCGCGAAAGTACTGGTGCGCTTTTGTCTGGAAGTGTAATAGCTGCTAGTCGTTGCGGCTTCGCCACCGCTTTTATCCGCGCCTGTTTCACCTTCTTTCGTTGATTGTGCCGGGGCTTAGCTTTGGGTAGCTGAAGTACTTCAATCTTGTCGTTTTTTCGCGCAGGTGGTTTTGAAACAGCCTTTGCCTTTGTTTTTACAATTTCCTTTGTCAGTAGCATTTTTTGCTTAGGCGGCGTAGACCCCGACTCAGACGAATCCAGTTTTGTCTCCCACGTTTGCGTCAAAGTTAGGAGCTTGGTGTTGCAGCTTGTGCTGGTTGATTTACGGCTTGTGGTGCTTGTTTTGGAATCCGACTTCACGAAATGTTGTCGCTCGTGGTCATGGGGGGGCTGTACATTGCCTCCCGCAACTAGTAGACCGTGTTCAGCTTGCTCCATGTCACGAATCATTGCCATTGTGTCGATGAGATCAGCTGGATCAATGTCAGACCCTGTATCACTCTCGTTAGCATCACCAAGAGCCGCAGTATCGTCCGTGCTATCGTCGGGCATCGTTGTCGCATTTGACGTGTATGTTGGTAGCTTTTGCATGCCATTGCGAACTATCTCTTTCCACGATTGCAGTGCTGGGTAGAATGCTGGACTGGTTAATCCGGCAAGGTACTCAATTACTGGCTCGAACGCAGCTTTTGCATAGCAGTACTTCTCTTCCGATGATAACACCACCACATTTGCCTGTTCACGTCGCCTCAGCTTAACATATACAACCCGCGGCTTTTTAGTCCGAGATCGCAGTCCACTCCGCTCAACCCCACGCGGCCGTGGTACTTCCGGGTTCACACCTTGTGTTGCCGAAACATCGTCTTGTGTTGCTTTCCATACTTCTTGTGTTGTTTCGGTTTCTTGCTCTGTTTCGTAAACTTCACTGACGTCGGATGGCTGCGTAGCGCCGTCGTGGGAGATGCATTGACCCGCATCTTTCATCGCTGCCTGCACTGTCTGGAGCATGCATACACCATCTGCAAATTCTTAATCCATATTCGCCATCGCCAGCATATCCCAGCGCTTAGGTATAGTTGATACTGGCAGACTCTCAAATTGATGAACATTGGCAGCGATGTACATCAAATGTTAACATGGTAGATTGTAGCTGCAGTAGAACAGACACGAACATGACCACTGAAAGTCGTTGCATTGATGTGTAAGCTCCCCCGTTCGCACTACCCACTCACCAACATCAGAACCACGCTTAATGCATGTTGTCGCAGCACTGAATACCATAAAGTAGTCCCATTGCGTGCGTACGCTAGCCAGCATTGTGTCGCTCAGGTGCTTTGACACTAGAGAGAGAAATCCGGGAACGCACATTCGGGCTGTGCGCGAACCTAGATGATATGCTTGTGCATAGGCGGTAATGAGATGGCTGTTATGGGTAGCCTGGTGAGATATATGTATTCCACTGCCTGTTGAGTCAAGTCGGGGGCGCTTCCCCAGCAGAAGTTTTAGCTGGTTCCAGTTTGACTTGATCCTGTTCGTCGTCGTGTTACCGGCCGTGAATGATTTGCCCCTGACGTGGTCTGCCCACATTCCAACACAAGATTCCCAATTCGCCTCGAAATATTTCTGCAGCGCTGGGCATTCTAGCTTACAAATTTGTCTGAACGTGGATACTTCTGAGTCGAACGTCGCTTTGGTTTTACTGTTTTCAGCAACACAACCGGCAACATATAGTTAACAACACAAGAAACAACACAAGCTAGCAACACAACAAACAACACAGCACAAACACGCACCAGTATATGAGTTTCGCGAATGCCGATTCCAACGTTTCCCTCTCTGTCACCTTCAAATTATACTCTTTCCGCTTACAAACCTTGCGCCAGTACGTTAGCGCATGAAACTGACAAAGTAAAACATCAGCGCCAGGAAATGCCTTCTTCAGCACTCGCCACTCAACGAAGTCCTTGTCGATGACGACGGTCTGGATTGATTGCCAGGACGGATTCTTGCGTTTGAAAAACTCAACAATGAGCTCCATCGTGACAGCTTTTTGGTCGAGGGCTAGAAAATCAATTACAGGCATTCCTCTGCCTGTAGCAGTTGTAACTACAAGACTCCCTGTAGCATATACACGAGTATGATATCAGACCTCACTTCAAGGATAATATAATTATCGACGTTACCCAGATGATATCCCAAATTATTGGTCCCATGTGTCCAGTCCATGACTAGCGTGTCACCCCACTGTGCGAAACATTTTTTCTGAATGCACGTTTGCATCGCAATCACACAAGTGATATCCATTTGGTCCTGAACTAATAGGACATCATTGCCGGCATTCCCGTCAGCAAAATAATCGAGAATAGTTTTAGTGCGCTCGAGGGTTGTCGTGCCCAATACTTGACGGAGCAGATTTCTCGTTTGTTGTGGTGTTAAAACCATATCTGGATATCATCAACGAAAAAAAAGGAGAGTGATTATAAATTAAGTTAGCAAAACTGAATAAAAAAATAGATTCTGCTACAGCCAAATTCACCAGCGACACCCACCAAGCTGATTCGAAAGATATCGGTTGATATCAGAAGTGCTCGTTTTCATTTCTGTCAGAAGCCTAAGCTCCCTGCGCACCTAGGGTGGGACCGACAACGACTTGGCCCCGCGATAGGAATCGTAGATATTCTTGCTTGTCTTGTGATTGTGGGTGGAGATCTAAGCAAATAATAGTTGTTAAGAAACGTTAAAGAAAATGCATCATAATAGCCATACCTCCGAGTCCAGATCCACAGTCACCTTCCATTTAGCAACTTCTTTTTCGACAACGTTGACAGTTCTCGCCAAGAAACTTGCCATGCATCCCGTGTATCGCAAGTCACAATCACGCCGTCCATCACCACGAGCCGACTGTGTTGCGCCATGAGTGCACCACATTCGTTTAAAACTGTGGGAAAACTGCTCGGGAATGATTGTTTCCCTAGGGCGACTTGATTAAGCAACACAACAAGCAACACACACAAATAACAT